AGCTCAGCAACCAGTGCCAGCTCCTGCGATGCCTCCAGGGCCTGATTATGAGCTGAAACTAATGCCAGCTGCAGCCCCAGAGACTTCCTTCTTTTCCCTATAATTCCATTTTTTAAATTTTTGGTTTTTTTATACATATACTCCATGATTTACTCTATTCTATCATACAAAATTCACTTATTTAACTCTTTGATCATTTTAAATCGGACAGTTAAGTGACATTAAGTCCATTCACAGTGTTTCACAACCCCCTCTGCTATCAATTCCAGAACATTTTCATCAAAGAGAAACCCTGTATCTACTAGTCAGTCACTCATTCCCGTCACCCCAACCCCTGGCACCCTCTAATCTTCTTTATGTCTCTATGGATTTATCAGTTCTTCTCTATGGGTTTATCACGTCAGTGGAATCATATAATATGTGGCTTGTTATGTCTGGCCAAGTCATGCATGAGGAGACTAACTAATGTTTGTTTTTTGTTTTAACAAAAGCTTTTTAAAAAATAAAAATAAAGGCAAGTCATTAAGTTAAAGGCATGGCGTTGGATGTGTTCAATTGAGAGGAAGTTCTGAGTTGCAACAGCAGGACCCACTTGAGCTAGTTTGAGCAGAAGGGATCTTTACAAGACGTATCAGGTGCTCAAAGAAGCTGAGGGACGGTCAGCACCTCAGGCAAGGGGCTTTGGAGCTGAGCACAGCCCCTTAGCAGCACTCAGGGTCCTCCAGCAGTGACCCAGTGCCCGCATCTATGCCAGCCCACAGTGCTAGTATCCCTCGCATTCAGCTTCTGTGTGGGGAGAAGCTTGGCCTCCTGCCCAAGACCCCAACTGTGGAGGAGGGAGGTGCCATCATCTCCCTAAAAGTAAGGTCACGGGGAGTCCCATGGTCTGAGGCCTGAGTGAGGCCACGGTCAGCGATCTCTCCCTTTTCTGCCAAAGATGGAGCCCCCCATGCAGAGAACATAGGTCCTCATATGGAGGAAACTCAGACCTCTCCCCACAGCAAGGAAGAGAAGCCCCTGAATGAATGGGGAGCAGGTGAGAGCAGAGATCAGGGAGGACTGCGGGGAAGGGCTGCCATGGGCTGCGGCAGTGCCATGATGATTAGGAGCACAGCCTCTGTGTTTGTTTGTAGGAAATGGCCAGGAATCATCACATCAAAGTCTCTATGAAAAACCAAACTCGCCTCCAGAGAGCACTTTCAATACAGACCACCAAAATGGCCACCGTCACCTGAGAGCCAGGGAAGCAGGAGATGCTGTCTACCTGGTGAGCAGGGAGAAGGGGTGGGCATAGGGTGTCCCACGGAGCTCAGGGCAGCTCGGTTTGTCTGCCTTGGCAAGGGGGGAGCACTATCATTGGGTGCCCATATTTGTCCCCTGGAGCAGATGACACACATTAAGAAGCCCAAGGGTGCAGGTCTCAACACTTAGGACAGTCAATGTCCACAGGCACAAGGACTGGAGCCACAGGTCATGTCCAGTGAAAGGGATAGCCTGGGCCTGACGGCATAGACCCCAGTGATGTGGGAGCTCAGCCTAGGGATACCCTATCCAGACTGACCAGGTGGTCCTTTCCTTTGCCCTGCTCCCAGAAACACTGAGTACTTTTGAGGAGGAGATGAAGACATTCCACAATGACAGCACGGTTCAGGAGAAGGAGGCTCAGTGCTGCAAGTACAGATGGAAGCCCTCAGTGCCTAAACCCCAGGGCCTGTTCTGTGATGCCCTCTGACCCCATCTCATATAAAGGCTCATCTGGAGGGACTCCTGGGTTTTCATTCACTCTGCATTCCTTCACTCATTCATTCCTTCAGCAAATATCCTTTTGTTCCATCCTTTTGGTCCTTGCTGTGTCTGAGCACACACTCATCAGGAGAATTGCAGTCTGGGAAGAGTTCCTTACAGTGGGTTCATGGAATAGGGAATCTCTTAAAAGCAGTTTTGACAGGCAAATGCAATGGCACTTATGGTGGTGACCATTTATCTTCTTGTTGCATCCTCGTCACCTTCAGTGCCAGCTCTAAAACCAGCTCCACAACTCTGCCAGTCCTAGTCCAGCTCCAACACCAGCCCCAAAGAGGGTAGGAACTCCAGCTCCAGGCCTAGATTCAGCTCTTGCACCAGCTCCAGAGTTAAGAGCCATTTTTACATCAGCATCACAGGCAGATCTAATGTGAGCTACATAGCTAGAGCCACTCCAGCATCAGCCCTTGCCAGAGTCCAGAGCTGATCCAGATCTGGCTCCAGTCCCACTTGCAGAGTTAGAGCCAGTGCCACATTCAGAGCTAGAGCTAGTTTTCACATCAATTCCAGAGCTACAACCAGTACCAACACCAAATCAAGCAAAAGCTTCCTGCTACCTCTAGCTCTGGCAGAAGCTCTATAGCAACTCCAGAGAAAAAGGCAGTTCTATCATCAACTCATGTGCCAGCTCCAGCACCAGCTCTAGTACTAGAATTAGTCCCACACCAGTTTGGGATTACAGGTAATGTCATGCCCAAAGCTACAGACAGCTCCAGCACCACCCTGGCAACACCACCAGAGCGACAAGCAGCTCCAGAATTGGAGCCATCTCCAGAGGTAGTGCCAGCACCAGAGTTAGGTCTAGCATCACCTCCTTAGCTAATGCAACCTCCAACACCAGCTCTGGCAACAACTGATTGAGAGCCAGGTCTAAGCTATAGCTGTTTCTAGAACCAGATCTGACACTATCTCCTGAGATGCATTCAGCTCTGGCATGTAATCCAGACTAAAGGTAGTACTATGTGTAGAACTAGAACCAACTACAGCACCAGCTCTTGCATCAACACCTGAGATAGAGTCAGCTGGTAACTCCTATACAAGCCCAGCAATAGCTCCAGTGCCACATCTGGGTCTGAGCCAGTGCCATCCCCTCCTTCACCATCCCTAGTGCCATCTCCGGACAGAGGCAGCTCTATCACCAATTCCTATCCCACATTCAGCGATAGCTCTATTGCCAGTTCTAGAACTAGAACCATTTCCAAACCAATTCTAGATTAAAGACAGTACTAGGTTCAGAGGAAGAGCCAGCACCAGCAGCAGATTTCTTCTATCCTTTACTTCTAAAATATTTTAATTAGTACAATTTAGGGCACTAACTACATTCACTAGGCTGGCACCATCTCCACTATCTAGTTCCAGAATATTTTCATCACCCCAGATAGAAACCTCATACCTACTGAAGAGTTACTCCCTATCCCCACTCCTCCTTGCTCCTGGCAACCACCAATCCGTTCTTTCTATTCATTCACCTATCTGGATTTTTCACACACCTGGAGTCATACAATATGTGGCCTTTTATGTCTGTCTTCTATCACTTAGCATAATGTCCTCATGGTTCATCCACGTTGTAGATGTATGAATACCTCATACCTTTTTATGGCTGCATAATATTTCACTGTATAAACATACATTTCGTTTAACCCTTCATCTGTTGGTGGACATTTTCATTGTTCTCACATATGGCTGTTGTGAATAGTGGTGCTGTGAATATTTGTGTACAGGTATTTGAATGCTTGTGTTCTCTTCTTTTGGGTATTTACTTAGGATTGGAAATGCTGGGTTTACTGGAATCTCCATGCTTTACATTATGAGTAATTACCAGACTGTTTTCCACAGTTTATGTACAAGTGGACATTTCCCCAGCAATAAGGCTTAAATTTCTCCACTTCTCAACCAATAGTTGCTATTTTCTGTATGTGTGTGTTTTATTTATGGCCATCCTAGTGGGCATGAAGTGGTTTTGATTTGCATCTCCCTGACATCTAGGGATGTTGATCATCTTTTCATATGCTTGCTGGCCATTTGTGTATCTACTGTGGAATAATGTTTATTCAAGTCCTTTGCCCTTTTATACTTCAGTTCTTTGTGTCTGTTGTTGGGTTGTAAGAATTCTTTAGATATTTTGGGTACAAGACTTGTCAGATTTATCGGTAGTAAATATCTTCTATCATTCTGTGTGTTGTCTTTTCACTCTCTTGACAGTGTCCTTTGATGCACAAAGTTTTCATTTTGAAGATATCTAATGAGTCTCTTTTATCTTTTACTGCTTTTAGTGTCATCTTTAAGAAATCAATGCCAAATACAAGATCATGAAGATTTGCCCCTGTTTCCTTCTATGAGTTTTATAGTTATAGCTCTTAAATGTACGTCTTTGATCCATTTTGGGTTAATTTTTTACATGATATTAGGTTAAGGGTCCAACTTCACTCAGTCATTAGTAATTTTACACAGTACATGTAATGAGGGACATTTTCCAATTAGTGGATAATCTTATATTTATTACTGTAGGGAATTTTCAGCATATTCTAAAATAAATTGAAGAACAAATGCATTTAAATATTTCCTAAAGAAAGTCTGTAAAGGTATAAAAAACTGTGCTGAAGAAGGCTAACTTGTAAAGTCAATCTTTTGAAGTAGGGCCATGTCATTGTCACGAGCAGTCATACATTCCCCTCTGGCGACCACAAAGGAAAGGGTACGAATGCTGCAGGGCTCTGTCATTCTCTCAGCCATAGAAGCCACCATCAAATTTAGACTTCTTCACAGTCTTGCTGTTAGACCAAAGCAAATTCTGTAAGAGTCAATGTTTGGGGATACCTCCTCATGGAAGTCAATGTCTTGTCATTTCACACTGTGAAGACACAGGCCTCTTGCCAAGGGCGGTGTTTCAGGGAGTGTTCATGGAGCACCTGGTCAGGCCCTGGTTCCACAGCAGGAAACAGAGAGGTCACCGCCTCACAGGACCCACAGGGGGTTGGTGGGAATAACTGGCCTACCTCACTGCTCTGTGTATCTGGTCTTAAGAAAATAATACATCAGGGGGCTGGCCCCGTGGCCGAGTGGTCAAATTCGTGCGCTCTGCTTCCCGCAGTCCGGGGTTTCAGTGGTTCAGATCCTGGGCACGGACATGGCGCCACTTGTCAGGCCATGTTGAGGCGGCGTCCCATGTGCCACAATTAGAATGACCTACAACTAAAGAAATACACAACTATGCACTGGGGGGATTTGGGGAGGAAAAAAAGCAGAAAAAAAAAGAAAATAATACATCACAACAAGGCATATTTATGTATCCTCCTGATTATCTAAACAAGGAAATATTTTAGAAAATTGGAAAACTATTGCTCAACATATCTGTATACTTCAATTAGAGTTTTTCCAAACATGGGATGACCCTATATTGTTAGTGACTTTTTCACTTAATATGAGTAAATATCCCTGCCTTTTAATATTTTTGAAAATATAATTTTAATGGTTTTATGGTTACACAGCATCCCTTACGATAAATGGTACATATCTCGTATGAATGACCTGCTTCTACAGTTCCTGCTGCCATCCTCTTCCACCAATCATATCTGTTACTCCCGAAAGTGAGTCACTTGATAACAGCTCCAGACTGCGTCCTAATCTGGCATCATTTCCTGAACTTCCAGAGACTTTCATTTTAACCCTTCTCTCTTAGGACAGCAGGCAGTTCACACCACGTCTCCTACCCTCCTTTAGATTGGGAACTCCTCCCAGGCCAAGATGGTGCTCAGTCAGTTTCAGTCTCCTCTCAGCACAGAGCCAGGCATATGGCAAATACTCAATAAAGATTTGAAAAACACCATAAATCTGAACAAGTTACTCACTGCTGCGGAAAACTTTAATTGTCTATGAAAATCCCTTCTCCCCTTCTTGGGGCACACAGCTGGAATATTTCCCAGCCTCCCTTGAGGCCATATGACCATGTCTTTGCCAACGGAAGAGGAATGAAAGGGATGTGTGCCATACCAGACCTGGCTTGTTATAACCTCCCACATGCCTTCCTCCTTGTTCTTTCTCCTTTGCTGATGGATGCAGATGGGCATGAGGTCATCAGGATGGAGAAGGCATGTGATGGAAGAACTCTGGGCTCCTGAATGACCACATGAGGGAGCGCAATCTCCCCAACATGAAGACTCACCCAGCACTGTGATGTGGGAAAATATATATGCTACTAAAATTGGGGGAGTTATTTGTAATTCAGCATAAACTAATACATGCACAAAAATTTTAATCCAAGGAGCAACTTAAATATGCATCAATCCAGTACATTTAAATTGAAGTCAATTCAGATGTGGACATGGGAGGACCCTGCTTCAGGCCAGGCAGAAAGGAAACAGGCAAGCAAGCAGAAGGTCCCCCTTCAGCTGCTGAAATGGAGAATGCTGTATCCTGAGGTTAGAATACTAAGGTCCGTTTCATTAAGTGGTTTTTCTTTTAAAGAAAATACATGCTGTTATGGACGATTGAAGTTTTGGGAATTGTATTTCTTAGTCGGCTTTACTTTGGACAGAACTCTCCATTTATATATAGAACTGGTTTTTTAAAAAGCCCCTGGCTTTATATAGAATGGCTACTCATCAGCTTCTGACATTCCATGCCAAGGTTCAAAGCCCTCTCCTAGGGCTTCTTTGGAAATTAGAAACCCTAAGATGTTAGGAAGCTCTTGCCCTTCCCTCCCTATGTGAGGGTTATTCTCTTCTGGACATCCAGAACATGAGAACTGACACACGCATGCACACACACACACACGTGTATGCACACACACAAACACATACACTGACATTAGGTAAAAACTATGAGTGGAGCCAAAAGAGGAGCAGACACAGGGGAGGTGACAAGAGGGAGAAAAAAGAAGTTGGAGGCACTACAAACATGTGCCACCACCTGTCCAATTTCATAGGTATTATCTCACATATGCCTGAGGACATACCTAGAAGTCCATGCTAGAATAATCCCCATTGTGCATGTGGGGAGACTGACAGCCCCTGAGAGACAGAATGACTTATCCAGGATCAAGAACAGGTAAGAATGAGGAGTTGAGTCTGAACTTAGGTCTGTCTCCTTAAACCTGGGACCCTGGCTGCACCCAGACCTTCCCAGGGCCCCGTGGAGAGGGTGTATTGGTGTAACTGCACAGATAGGGTGTTGCATGGAGATGGGGGGTGAGCAGTAGCAGCCCAGAGGGCTGTTTGGATAGATGTTGTCTGAGAAGGGGACTCAGGAAGAGAGCCCAAAGTGAAGTCACTTCCTTGACAATAGACCCCCACAGAACTTGGAACCCCTGTAACCAGGCGCCCACATTCCAGTGACAGCCCCATACCCAGCCCACTTGGCCAGACACTTCACTTACAAATATGTTCTCCCGCTGTGTCCTCACTTAACGGGGCTCTTGTTTTGGGACAGCCTGGAGTGAGAGCCTTTTCGGAAGCTGCAGACATTTGTTCAACCCTCACTCGACCCAGACACCTCTGGCCATTTGACAGGAGGTCCCCTAAGGTAACACAAGGCAGCCTAGGGCAGGCCAATCCAGGCCAGGCCACCTCTGTGAGACCTCCCTGGGAGGCCCCACATCCCCTCCTCTTCAGTGTCGGGGGAAGAGGGACATGAGGGGAGGGCACGCCCAGGGCAGTGATACCCTGGTAGTCCTAAGTCGTCACACCGCTGGACTGGACTGGCAGGGTGGTAAGGGGATTGCTGAGGTGCCTCTTATTTGTGCCTGTGTGAATCCAAGGCCCTCAGGCTGTCATCTTTTCTGTCTCCTTGGGGGAGGTCTGTGCAGACAGTGGTGTGCATGTGTCTGGAGTGGAGAAGTCTTTTGGGTCTGAGAACCAGCATAGAGCCAGCCGGTCTGAGGCTTCTGCCTGGCTGCCGGGCACTGTCTTTCCAGAGCTCCACCCAGGAGACGGGACAGGAGCTGATCAGTGGGGTCCTCTACTGCATCTGCCTGCAGGGGAGCAGGTGCCCCACACCAGCCACAGAGTCCGGCGCTGGCTCATGGTGAGTGTAGGCAATGAGGAGACTCCACACCCAGGACCCTGATACAGCCAAAGGCAGCCCTGGGCCCCAGAAGCCACCCTGATACTCCCCTGGGCTCTTTTATAGAATCCTGCTCCCAAAGAAATCTGGGTCCCCAAGTTCTCCCCCAACACACCCTCACTGCCTAGCCCTGCTGTGGCCACATGCAAAGTCATTGTCCACATACTTGTAGGAATATCACAAAGATAATGTTATACAACTTCACTTCACATGAAGTCAAGAGTGTTGCTATTTTTCTACAGATTTTCCTGTTTTAACTCCTGTCCGCAGGTGCACTTGTTGTCTTGCCAAGCCTTCCGCACCTTCTCCAGGTCTTACACATCATCGTGATCAGTAGGGATGTCTTTACCCAAAACCACAGGGGGCTCATGGTACTATGTCTGTTTCTCTGCAACTTACTGTCTCAGGGAACTCATCCCCGTGGCCCCTCCAGGTCGGGGGCTGGGCTCACTGGGCTGCACAACATTCCAGAAGGGAGACCAGGTACCACAGCGAGTCAGCCCTTCACTGATGTGGGAGCTTGACCTGATTCCCATCTCACCCTTTCAACGTGCCGCATGACCATCCCACATGTCTTAACATCCTGATCCCTCCCACCCCAGGATAAGCCTCTGTGTTCTCATCTCTAGAATGGGATGCTGTGTCAGGAATCACAGGGGGGATGCAGGTGGTACAGGGCGGTGCTGTCAATACTCTGCTAACAAAACAACCTCAGATGCTAATATATGTAATCCTTCCCCACCTCACATTCTACTTTAATACCAAGAACCATTTTTCTGCTGAGGGCGTTCATGTCCCACCTCCTGCCACAGGTCACTTAGTGCTTGGGGATTTGTCCTGAGCTTCTGCTCCACCCTCCTGGTGTCCACGGTGCTGCTCTGACAGCATTTCCTCTTCTGTCCCACCCCAGGGTGAAAATGTGTCCACAGTGAAATGGAAGAGACCCGCATGGTGTGGACCGTCCAGGGAGGCAGGCCAGAAAAGCAAGTGGAGCACCTGGTGTTCGCCTTCCTGGGCAGTGACCCCTCATACGTGCCCACCCTCCTGGGCACCTGCAGAGCTTCTGCCAACACCCAACAGCACTCGACCTGCTGTTCAAAGGTGAGCACTATGTCCGTCCACGAGACAGTGGTGTTTTGGTGACTTACTAGCTGTGAGACTTCAGAATGTCACTGCCCCTCTCTGAGCCTCAGTTTGCTCCTGTGAACCTTGGAGTGAATAGAGCACCAACCTCATAGGGTTATTTTCAAGACTAAGTGGGTCCACCATGGAAAGTGCTGTCCGGGTGCCTGGCCCTGGGGCAAGAACTGCTGCAGGGCCATGTTTGTGCTAATTTATCATTTCCCTCATGCCATGACGAAGCCTCTGCCTCATTCATCACTGTTCTTGTAGCCTTGGGCTAAAGTGTTTTCCCATTGGAAAATGAGATTTGAGATTCCATTAGTGGTTCCTTTTCATGGGTAAAGTCTGAGGAGGGATCCTTGGGGGTGAGCAGGGAGGCCACAGGCCCACTCATATATCCATGATGGGGCTGGTTGGGGCTCATTCATTTATCAAACATATAGGAAGCCCCACTAGGTGCAGGCACTTATCTCGGTATGACCATAATCCAGCGCACAGAGCAGACAAGTCCTGCCTCTCAGGGCTTCCATTCTAGTCGGGAGTCAGAATGTCACACTAGACATCACAAGAAGGTAGTGTCCACACTACAGCCGATCTAATGTCCTCCTGGCCTCCTCTAGATGGATGCATCCTCCCTCATTCTGATGAGGATGGCAGTCACTAGTATCAATTAAAAATGTGAATGGGCTTTGATTTAAGAAGGAGCAACTCCCTTTTCCAAAGAACTGTGTAGAGATGTGGGGTTCTGTGGATGAGGAGGGGATGGCAGAGCCCTGGATCCAACATCTTATGATTCTTGCTTGAGGGCAGAAGTCTGAGCGCTTCTCCTGGCAAAAAGGAAAGGAGTCAGAGAGAGCTACAGATGGGGCTGTGGATGCTGTGAGGAATAGAGGGGAGGTCAGAGGACAGAGTCAGCCCTGGAAATAGCCCTTCCCCATTCCAGCCCTGCCTCCATCCCCATCCTGGGACCCAGAACAGGAGGTGTGGAGAGCATCCTGCTCATGAATCTGGTGGAACCTCAACAGCGGGGGCTCGGCTGGTGCTCAGGGGACTCACTGAGGGCTCTGGGGCTGGCTGAACCCACACTGTGGGAGATGAGTGGCAGTGGCAGGAGGAGACCCACATGGAGCATTTAGAGAATTAGGCAGATATAGGTGAAGGAGGTAAGTTTGAGGAACTGGGAGAGCCCTGGGAATCCTGAGCAGGAGACAGAGTTCATATGTTCTTCATCGGTCAGATTTTCATGGAGCACCTACTGTGTGCCAGTGAGTGCAATGAACAGAGCAGACACTCCTCCTTGTCCTCATGGAGTTGACATCCCAGTGGGGAAGAGTCAGGGAGATAGACAGAGGTGTGTGCCAGGCTTTCCCAAAGAAGTGGAGAAGTGGTCACATCGATGGATCAAGGGCTCTCACTTAAGAAGGCTTTTTACCAGCCCCTCCTTGGTGACCAGGCCTGCCTCTGCCACAACTGCCAGAATGGAGGTGGACATGGAATAAGGCTGGCCTCTGGGTGGGCAGGAGCAGAAGGCACAGAGGCCCAAGTCCCCAAAGGGATGCCCTGGGAAGGGAGTGTGGAAGGAAACCAGGCCTCTGACTCAACTACCCCCAGGATCATCTCCTCAATCCTGGGCACCTGACTGGACCAGGATTTCCACCAGCCACCAGAATTTCCCTGCCTGAAGATGCTACTGGCCTACACTGGGCTCAACATGCCGGCTCGGACCTGGAGCGCCATGCCCACCCGCTTCTGGCACAACTAGAGCACCTTAAGCCCATTGAGGGTGAGGAGGACTGAGGGTGAAGACTCAGGGTGGGCGATGTGGGCTGTGGGGAGCGGTGGGGCTGGGTCACACAGAGCTGAGCCTCCGGAGGCTAGAGTTGGGTCAGGAGCAATGAGTAGCCTCAGATCACTATTCCCACCCACTACAGTCTGGACCACTTCCTGGGGGTGGGTTCCTGGAAGAAGACTTCATCGATTGACAGAGAGAGGTTTCCTGTGTATTTGGAGGGCACATGGAAAGGCAGTCATGTTCATGATATTTTCTCCTCTTGGAGCTACAGTACCAGCTCCAGAGCAAGCTCTAGAACCACTTCAAGAGTTAGTGCCAGCTCCCATTCTACTGCCCACTACAGTTCCAGAGCCAGAGCCAGCTCAAGCCACAGCTCTCATTCAATTCAAGAGCTCAAACAAGCATATATGTCAGCTATAATTCCTGAGCCAGGGAGTGCTCAAGCCACAGCTGTCATTCAAGCTCAAGAGCTAGAACAAGCACCTACATAAGCTCCAATTCCAGAGCCAGGAAAGGTTCAAGCAACACCTCCCACCTAATGTCCAGAGCTAGAAGCATCACGAAAACCTATTCTAGTATGAGCTCCAGAACTCCAGCAAGTTCCATCAACAGCTCCAGCTCCAGAGCACAAGCCAACCACAGCAAGAGCACTACCGCCAGCTCTTGAGCCCCATAGTGCTTTGGCACCAGCTCCAGTTCTAGAACTAAAGACAATAACAGACCCCATTCTCAAAGCAACACTGGTGCCAGAGCCAGTTCCTCCCCCAGTATACTAGAGCTGGTACCAGCTCAGCAACCAGCGCCAGCTCCTGCAACGCCTCCAGGGCCCGATCACAAGCTGCAACTCACACCAGCTGCAGCCCCAGAGACTTCCTTCCCCTCCCCTATAATTCCACTTTTTAAATTTTTGTTTTTCCTTATATTTACTCAATATTTTACTATATTCTATCATATAAAATTCACAAAATAAAATTTAACTCTTTGATCACTTTAAATGGGACATTAAGTACATTCACAATCTTGCATAATCCCCACTGCTGTCTATTCCAGAACATTTTCATCAAAGAGAAGCCCCGTATCTACTAGTCAGTCACTCCTCCTTCCTGTCACCCAGCCCCTGGCACCGACTATCTTCTTTATGTCTCTATGGATTTATCAAAACGGGGCTGTCCATATCAGAGGAATCATATAATATGTGGCCTTCTGTGTCTGGCTAAATAATGCATGAGGAGACTGATTAATGATCATTTTTATTTCAACAGAAGTAATTTTTTTTATTAACAAGGACAATCCTTGATCCATGAAAGATTATGTGTAGGAAATGATGCCTAAATATTAAATGTTTTCATTACCTTGGGATAGGGAACACTTTCACATGTATGACACAAGAGCCAGCAACATAAGGGAAATATCTGAACAGTGAGACACTTAAAATCTTTTCTTTTTTGGATTGGCAATGTGTGAATTTTTTCTAACATGTATTTTTTTAAAATTGATATCACATATTAAATGTTATCCATTTATCACAAATCTCTTAATTAATAATGTACTTTATATGGTTTTTTAAAGTTTAAGATAAAGATAATGTTTATTTATTAAAATAAGGATTTAAATATGGACTAATAAAGGAAGATATACTCCTCCTACCAAGAAATAGTTGCCCACAGCACGTGGCGTCCATCCTTCCATCCTTTCCCTTTAAGTGCAGGTGGCGGGTGTGTGTGTTTGAGGGTGTGGTGTGGGGATTCCAGGGCTGTGCTCTTCTGTAACCTGATGTCCCCACAGGTGGACATGCACAGTCAGTCCTGTCCCCTTGTGCATTCTCAGTGGCCACACATCACGACTTACTCAGCATCCCCGGCTGTTGAACAATGGGGCCATTTCCAATTTTTCACTCCCAAAATTGTGCTGAAAGGTACAACTGTGTCCATAAATCTCTATTCTTTTAGGACTGATCCCTATAAATGGAATTTCTGGAACACAATATGTCCACGTTTTAAGGTATTGCTGTGGCTTCCATTACCTGCGGTCTCTTTATGAAGTTTAAGCTTTGTTTGGGAAAGCAGGGACTCCAGAGACACTTGGTTGAACATAAGCATTTTGAGGAAGTTGAAAAAGCCAGCAGTGGAGGCCATCAGGATACCTGGGAGTGATCCATGGAGCAGGGAGGGCCCCTGAAGACCCCACCAGATACCTCTTCCACAACACCCACTGCTCCATGCCCTGGACCATGTGTCTCCCAGCCCCTTCTATGACACACCCCAGGCCCCACCCAGCGGCCACCCCAGCCCCTCCTGCTCCACAACTCAGCCTCTGGGCAAAGCCAGACCCTGCCATCTAGGACAGAGGAAGGTACAGGCCAGGCCACTCCTGTCTGCCATCTTCCCCCATGCCAGAGTCCCTTTCTCTCCACAGGAAAGCTCCTCTAAGGGCACGTCAGCGTGTTGTAGGCATGACCTTGAATGTGTTCAATCCAGGTGAAGTTCTCAGTTGCAACAGCAGGACCCACTTGAGCTTGTGTGAGCAGAAGAGGCCTTTATAAAGCACATCAAGGGCTCTTGGAAGCTGCGTGAAGGTCAGAGGCTCAGGCCAGGGTATTGGAGCTGGGCACAGCCCCAAATCACCCCTCAGGCTCCTCCAGCAGTGACCCCCTGTGCCCAGCCCTGTGCCAGCCCCCGGCCCTGCTATCCCTCACATTAGGCTTCTGTGTTGGAGTGAGCTCTGCCTCCTGCCCAAGACTCCAAGTGAGGATGAAAAAGGGAGCCCTATTCTCCCTCAAAATAAGATCAAGTTGAGTCCTCTGGTCAGAGGCTGTTGAGTGAGGCCATGGTCAGCGATCTCTCTCTTCTCTGGGAATCCAGAGATGGATCCCCCATGCAGAGAACATTGGTCTTCATTGGGAAGAAACTGGAGCTCTCCCTAGAGGTAGAGAAAGTGACATCCCTGATTGAATGGGGGCAGGGGAGAGCAGAGATCAGCGAGGACTAAGGGGAAGGGTTGCCATGGGCTGTGTCGCTGCCCTTATGAATAGGGGCACGGGCTCTGTGTCGGATTGCAGGAAGGGGCCAGGAATCATCCTGCCAAAGTTTCATCCAAAACCACATTCTCCTCCAGAAAACATCTTCAATTCTGACCACCAAAATGACTGTGGGCTACCTGGCAGCCATGGAAGCCCAACATGCTGCCTACCTTGTGAGCAGAGAGGAGGGATGAAAAATGCATGACCCAGGGCAGAAACATTTCCTGCCTCGGCAAAGAGGGTGCCCTGTCATTGGAGCAGAAAATGCATGCACGGAATCCCAGAATGCAGATCTCAAAATGTAGCATGTCACTGTCTACAGACACTAAGATCCGAGCCAAGTATGGAGCTGGCACTGGAGTTACTTACTCATAGAGATACTTTTATCTCTGGAGTTGGTAGTAATGATTGTTCTTGAGATACACATCTTTGCCAACAGTTTCTAATTTCTGTGTGTGTGTGTTAATTATAGCCATTGCAGTGGGTGTGGAGTGGTATCTCATTGTGGTTTTGATCGGCATCTCCCTGATATCCAAGGATATTGATCATATTTTCATGTATTTGTTGGTTATTTGTATATCTTCTTTGGAGAAGTGTCTCTTCAAGTTCTTTGCCCATTTTAGTTGGTTTATTTGTGTTAGATATTCTGAGTACAAGACCTCTGTCAGATTTATCATCTGTAAATAATTTCCACCATCCTGTGGGTTGTTTTTTCACTTTCTTGAGAGTACCCTGTGATAGCAAACAACAAAATGTTTTTATCTTGAGGATGTCCAATGCATCTGTCTTTCTTTTATTCTTCTTGGTGTCATTTTTAAGAAACCAATGCCAAATCCAAGGTCGTGGAGATCTGCCCCTAAGTTTTCCTCAACATTTTTGTAGTTTTAGCTCTTAAGTTGAGGTCTTTAATCCATTTTGGGTTAATTTTTTATACGGTATTAGGCAAAGATCCAAATTCAGTCAGGAACTCATAATATTACATATCTGAATACATAAAGAGGGACATCTTCCAGTTAGTGGATTACCTTATACTTGTCACTTGTAGAGAATTTTCATTATATTCCGAAGAAGTGGAAGAATAAAAGCAAATAAACACTCCTTAAAGAATTTTTCTTAAGTTAAAAGACATGTTCTGAAGAAGGCTAGCCTGTAAAGTAAATTTTTGCAGTGGATCAGCGTCGGTGTCGTAAGCAATCACACACTGTTCACTGGTGGACTTACAGGAAATTGCATGAGTGCTCCAGGGCTCCTCGGTTTTCGCTGCAATAAAAGCCGACATTCAAACTTAGACTCCTTCACACTCCTTCGCTGTTAGTAAAAAACCAAATTCTGTAAGATTCAATGTTTTGGAGGTGCCCTCCAGTGGAAGTCCTTGACTTGTCATTTCACATTGTGAAAAAATAGGCCCCTCCCCCAGTGCAATATTTTAGGGAGCATTTATTGAGTACCCGAGTCAGGCCCTGGGTTGAATGGCAGAAAACAGTCAAGATCACTGCCTCACAGAACCCATAGGTGGTGGCATAGAAAAGTGATGGAAAAAACCAGTCTACAACACTGCTCTGTATATCAGGTTTAAAGAAAATAGCACATCAAATCAAAGCACAGTTTTGGAATCCTTCTGATTAAACAATAAAACATTTTAGAAAATTTGAAAATTATCACTCAACATATCTATATACTGTCATTTAAATTTATGTTTTCCAAAAACAGAATTTTTATATATTCCCAGTTATTTCTTCTTAATATAATTACTTGCTCATGTCATTAAATATTTTTGAAAATATCATTTTAATGGCTGCACAGTATTTCTAAAAATATCTCATACATAAATTACCTGCTTATATAGTTCTTGTTGCCATTTTCTTCCACCAACAATATCTTATCTCTGAAAATGAAGATCAGTTGGTGTCATCTCCAAGCATCTTCCCATTCTAAGATAATTCACTGAACTTTCAGAGCACTTTCTACTTTATCCTTTTCTCTCTTAGAATGGCAGGCACTTAATACCATGTCTTTTCTCCTTCTTTAGACTTGTAACTTCCCCCAGGCCAGGACTCTGCTGAATCAATTCTGTGTCCCTCTTCAAGCCCTTAGTACTGTGCTTGGCCTACGGCAGATACTCAATAAAGATTTGAGAAACACAATAAATCCAAATGAATTACTCTCTGTTGCAGAGAGCTTCAGTTCATCAAAATCCATTCTCCTCTTCTTTGGACAACAGTGAACTACATTTCCCAGCTTCCTTTGCATTAGGTATGGCCATGTGACCAGTTCTTGCCAATAGAAGAAGTGAAAGTGCTGTGTGCCTTTCCAGACATGGCCATGAAATCTTCCCACAGGCATTTCTTCCTGCTCTTTCCCCTTTTGCTGACGGATGTAGATGGGGATACGGACCTATGGATGGTGAAGGCACATGATGAAAGAATTCTGGGATCCTAAACAACCACAGGCAGAACTGTTGCCTCCCCAACCTGAACACCCATCCAGGACTGATATGTGGGCAAATATATAGTGATATGTCACTGAATTATAGGGGTTAACTGGTATTTCAGCATAACCTAAGTAATGCATCTGTTTAGAAACTTAAACATAGGATTAAATTAAATGGGTATCTGTCTGGTACATTTAAAATGACAAAAGTCAATTTGGCCTGCCAGCTTTACCCCTCCAGTTTGAACTTGATAGTCTGTCTCAGCCATTTAGCCTCAGAGAACTTCATCCCTCAAAATATTTTTATTCTGTGCTTGATTAACATTGAAATCAGAGTTACACCAATATTTTAAATCTTCTTGAGAATGTATTTTCCAGAGCTAACTTCAATAAGACATTTTAATTCCTTATTCTTTTTTAAAAAAATATAGCGCAGTGTGAGTGACATCAGCATCATGGCAGAATGCGTTGCTCCCTTTGCCCCTCTCCTCTAAGTCACAACCAATCAGACATCCACTGACCAACAAAGGACTCTCTGCATAGAACACCAGAATGCCTCTGAGATCCAAACATCTATACATCCAAAGGTGGGAGGATTGGACCTCCTGGAGGCAGTGGAGCCAGAGGACCAGGAGCGGCAACAGCTCCCAAGACTGGAGGT